ACGAACATACACACACACACATACATACATACTTACATACATACATACATACACACACAGACAGGGTCGTCCCAATATGCGTTTTTGCAATTTGCATATGGGCACAAAAACGCATAAAAACGGGGGACGAAATTGAAATAAGATAGAAAAGATAGTGTGGTCGTTAATGTATGCACACCTCTGCACACTTCACCATGCTAATTGAATGTTATTTTCTCATTTGCTTGCGGTGTTTTGTAGACTCCTTACCTTCGTAAGCGCTGGCTTACAAATGGACAGTATTAATCAGTTATTTCAAAAAAGGCTTTGTGCTGGTGCCTCTTCTGTTGTTGGCTTGCCCGGCAGTCTTCTCCGAGGACCACACTCAGAAATTTTTCGCTGGAAAAAGCGCTATCACTTGGTCCATAGAAGTACCGTTTTCCAGCAAATACAGCGCGAAAATAGTTTTGATTTCTTTGACAGACGGAAGTGTGTTAAGTAATTCTGGAAGTTACTGCCTGGGAACATATACAATAACCACTGACAGGTATGAATGAAGGGCAGGGGATTTTAGGAGAAAAGAGAAGAAAAAGGCTACTCATGAGCGTGAATGAGTGTGCCTTGTGTGTATGCAAGCAACTTTGATGAGTTCTGTTATCAGTAAAAGCAGCGCAAAATTGTCTGCCACTGCCTGTGTGTGTATGTGTGTATACATATATATATATATATATATGTATCTTGTGTGCGTAGGTGTGTATGTGTACATCTATATAAATACAAGAATACAAGTACGTACGGCAGACAAAATGCCAGCATCGTATCATATCAGTTTAGTGTCATTCTCCCATTTCCATACTTGCTTACTCTTCTCGACTGTGCTGCCGACGTGAATTTTCATTTTCTGTTTCTTTGAAAAATTTCAGCTTTTTGTGATTGATTGTTCACTGACGACATTCTAATTATGTCCATAGCTCTGCAAATGCCCATCCAAAATGAGGAAGTCTGTTAGTCTTTAGTAGCTTTTGTATCAGTCAACAAGCTTTTTTCAATTCTTAAATCCCGGCTATGCTTGTTAGTAAACACTGCATGAGTCACTAAACAACTACTGGTGATCTTACTTGTATCATTGCTGAGTTGCACTCTGTGCTTAATAAGTGTGAACTTTGGGGAATCAGCACCCAAAGATCTGACTTTTTCGAAAATAGCTGCCTTATATTTGTAGGAATTTTCCGATATCTCAGCGAGAACTCAACTCGAAAACTTTAGCGAGGCAATAAAATGTTACGTCACATTAGTTTTTCGAGTTACGAACCAGAACGCAGGAAAGCAAAGCAAAGCGTGCTCGTGAAACGCAGCATGAAGACAGACCAATCAAG